ATTACTAAGAAATTTGGTTAAAACATTTGTGGTCCCCAGAGGATGACGCACATTAACTTTGATGATCCACTGACTTTTCATCTGCCGGCATCATAAAGCAACATTTTTCCCTTTTGCTGTGAAATATCTCAACATTTACTTGATGGATTGCAACAAAGTTTTGTTCAGATATTCATCTATCACTATCCCTATCACTGCTCATGCTAACTTCCCTCTTCTTATTCCAAAAAAGCTGCTGTTGCATTTAACATAGAATTCTCAACTTGCTGAGCACAACAAAACAAAAACTGTTCCCAGGCCTTCACCAGTAAAAGCTTGGGTTACTATGATCAGCTGGTGATGAGAGTAGCAAAACAGCCGCTGGTATCATTACAAATGCCTGTTTGATATTACAAATAATCAGGATGGACTGTTAAAGTGACTGATATCTTATCTCTGACATCTTCCTCCAATTTGCACTTGATGCGTGATGGGCAGCTTAGCTATTCTTTGTGATGAGCACTCCAACATGTCCATTACTGCTCTAAAGTGACGTTTAAGATGTGAAAGAAATGGAATCTGTCTGCAGCCTTTCAGTAGTGTGGATTGTTGTTGCATGCATACATATTTCTGCTTGTAACAGCAACTGAGAAACTACAGAGTGTTTCCAAAATTTCAATCAAATCTATTACAGTTTATTCACAAATTCAGAGCTGAGTGTGTCAAAAAACATATAATCTTTAATTTGGGATGGTCTCTTTATTTGGTGGTTTAACACAACATCGGTACTGTAGTTGTATGGGTGTAAGTTACAGTTATGCATTATGTCCTCACAGGGTCCTAAAGACAACAGACCTGTGGGTGTGTTTGAGGTATGAAATAAGATCTGAGTGGCTGTCGTCAACATGAGTCTTTACACACCTGCTTCCCATTTTTTTATACTCTCCTCGTCTTCACCTACGGATTTACTCTCCTGTATTTTCTCTTCCTCTGTCCTCCTTTCCTTTTTCCGCCCATCTTCTCTCTCCTCTCTTTTATCATTAGAGCGATGTGTCAATCAGAGCACATTGTGGTTAAATATCACATGTCTGTCACTGTACCTTAAAAAAGCAGTGTGTGGGATTTAGGGGGATTAATTGGCTGAAATATAATATAATATAATATAATATAATATAATATAATATAATATAATACATTAGTGTAATATCACCTAAGAATAACTGTGTTTTTGTTAGCTTTGAATGAGCCGTTTATATCTACATAGGGTGCGGGTCCTTCACGGACTCCGCCATTGGTGTACCGCCATGTTTGTCCAGTAGACCAGAGCGGACAACCCAAACACTGTCTCTAGAGAGTCTTTCACATTTTTACGTAACCTGGAGGCCACTGTAGCTCTCCGACATGGGGTGAGCAGAGGGGTGTTTGGTTGGATGCTATGTGCAACCTCACCACGAGATGCCACTAAATCCTAAACATTGCTGCTTTAAGGAGCTGTTATCACCATTCGTATTGTATTAGTCTGGCCTTCAAGGAAGTTCTAGTGTCAAGTTATGGTCAGTGAAAAATCAGTATTGGCCTTCAAAACCCAGATGAGTTGACCTTTAACCTCCTCTCATATAATTCCTTCTCACGTGGATCAATAAATACCATTTTCAATAACCCTGTGTGCTGTAACTCTACTTGGAGTAGATAGATGGTTTACCACATCAACAGAAGCACACAATGCCCATGAATGCTGAATCTAGTCCGCCTTTATTTAGTCATTAAGGTGGATGTGTATTTTTGTACAGTATCTCGTCAGGGATAGACAACCTGATGTTTACTTTGTGAAAACAACCTGTTTCTGATTGTTCATGTTGGAGACAAGGGCTGTTGCTTGTGAGTTCAGCTCAATCAATTGATCAGAGTTTTATCCAGGCTGTGTAACATGTAGCTGTTTCTCTTAATGAAAACTGTCTGTGGTTTTACATATCTCAAAACAGACAGTGTCCATTTCCTTACACAGCTTACGTAAAATGCTTTCAGTGTTATTCGGATTGGACAGTAAAGCTGCCACGGTACTGTCAAATTTTTTCTGTCGTGTTATTGGCTTACATCGACGCAGCAACAGCAGGAAGTGCTGTTGGTGCATGTTAGTGCATGTGAGCGTGCCCCACTGGCTAGCTCTGCAGCTTCTCTGCATACGGCGGTAATAGCTGATAATGCCATCCCGACCGACAGCGTTGTTTCAGAAGTGTAGCCCTCCGCACTCTGTCAGTGCTTTCGCCATAATTTGCACTGGTAGTTAGGCTGCAACCTCCGGTACTGACGGGTGAAGCCAATGTGAAAGTGTCTTAAAACTTGCATTCTCTCTACTGGCCCGCAGGGGGCGACTCCTCCGGTTGCAAAAAGAAGCCAGATTGTCTTGAAGACTCTATTTTTCACTTGATTTATCAGTAAACATTGTAAACAGTTTATGGTCTCAATCTCTAGTTTCAAGTCTTCTTCAATACAGCATGATGTTGATTTATTAAATGATGGTCCATTTACAGTCAACTAGACTACAAAGCGGATTATGCTTTAGGGCGGGCTTACTGTGATTGACAGGTCGCTGCCGCTACGAGAGACATCACTTCTCTGCATTCCAAATATGGCCACTTCCGATCACCGGTTGCCAAAAGTCAAAATGGAGATGACGAAATTGCCGAACTCGAAGCTTCAAAACGGCAGTCCACAAACCAATGGGTGACATCACAGTGACTACTTCTCATATACAGTCTATGCTGGTAGCACTGTTAGCACTGTTAGCTATGAGCCGCCGGCTCACCGTCGACATGTTGAGAGATGTTGAGAGGTAATTGAAATGCTTCCAATCTTGGATCTTGTCCCTTTGAAAACTGATAAAATGTTAAGTGTTGTGTTTACGGCTTGTTTCCCCTTGCATAAAAACCCATTAAATGGCATTAAATTGTTGACTTTCAGACAGCTGGAGTGGGAAATTGTGAAAGTTATGTAAGATTTCAGAATTATAGAATAATCTAAACTCATGCTTGGATAATTACATAAACAACGCCTTGAATTCATTAATAGTTGACTGTTAAAACAACAGTATTTACACAGTGAACACATCTTTTCAACTCAACAATTGCCATGAACATTTAGATGACAATGTCTAGTTCTGTATTAATGAAGAGCTATTCTGATTATTGAAACCTTATTTCATGTTCTTGTGTTTTTTTGTTTTGTTTCTGTCAGGGATTTTGAAATATTCGCCAAAACTTTCCGAATGCGACTTCAGCCATGTGTGTTGTGTCACCTCTTCTTTATTATCATATCCATCTTTCTCCTTCACTAATTAACTCTCGTTTATTGAACTTTATTAAACCAGGCAGTTCAGAATAAACCCATCTAACTTTAATGGCTTGAGAGAAGCAAATGATCCTTTCACTTTTTTATTTTATTATAACATCAAATGAGGACTGGGGAAGGGTTGGGAGTGTTGCGGCTTCAACGCTCCTATACTTCATTTTCTATCTTTCTTTTGCTTCTCCACCGCCTATTTCTTACTTCCATACATATTTGCTCCTCTTCTTTCTCACCCCTTCATCCTTCCTCTCACCAGCTCGTGTCTTCTTTCATTTCTTGGTATTTCCTCTCGCTCTCTCCTCTACGTCCCCCATCCTTTCCCCTCTTTTGTCCTCTGTCACCTCCTTAGCCTCCCCTTGCTATTCCTCCCTCCTCTTAAACTATCCTCTTCCCTTCATCTTAACCTCCTCCTGCACGGTACCCTCTTACCTCCCTTTCATCTCCCCGGCTCCTTCTTCTTAACCATTTGACCATCAATCCTGTCTCCCACTTCTCCCACCCGAGGCTCCCACCTTCACCTCCTCTTCGTGCCCCCCTCCTCCTCTTCCTCCTCTTCCTCCTCCTCCTCCTCATCCTCCTCCTCTGCCCGGCATGACGTGGGACCAGATCAAGGAACTGTGTTGCCGGGAGTAACAGGGATTGAGAGCGACGCGTTGGAATGCAACTCCAGCCGAGCCCCTGAGAACAGGAGGAGGAGGAGGAAGGGGAGAGCGAGAGCAAGTATTTCCACTTTATCCCTGTGAAGTGTTTCTCCAGAATTCTCTCTTTTTCTTGTCCTATTCACCTCGTAGTTTTCCTCTTCATCTCTTGTGTTTCTGTGTGTCTGTGTCTCGCCTGTAGACACATTGTAGCTGCGTCTCTTTTGTTTTGCCCTCCTCTTTCTCTGAAAAGAGGGTGCCGGCGACTCTTATTCTCCATTTCCTTGCTGCTCTCTCTCCTTACAGACCTGTCTCTCTCCTCATCTTTTATCTGATATTACATGCATACAACTTTGTTTGGGCTTTTCCTTTCTTTTCTTCTTTTCTTTACTGTCTCTACTTCCTTGTCTGTTTTTGGGGGCTTCTGTTTATCGGCCGTCAGTCAGACCGTACACCCAGCCGTCTGTTTGCCTGGCTCGCAGTGTAAATGCCAGTGAAAGAGACAGAGGGAGAGAGAGGGCAAACACATGGAGATGCAGATGGACACACACACACACAGTCACACATTCTCTCGCTCCACTGTGCCACCGTACACACTCTCTCTACTTTATCAGCAGAATGAAAGTGCTTTCTGGCGGTATTTGAATGAGACAGAAAAGAGCCTTATTCAGCCCCTCTGCCTGGCTTTTATTAACACTGCGCGTCACTGAGGCAACATAAGCCTCCCCTCCCTCACACCCCATGTCTGCCTCCTCACACACAAACACACACGCGCACACACACACACACACACACACACACACACACACACATATACAAGCAGAGGGAGGTCTCCTGTTCAGGTATGATGATGCCCCCTCCTTGCTTTTTTTCCCCTTTCCCTTTTCTCTCATCCCTCTTTTTCATTGGCTCCTCCTCACTCAGGGGCTTTTGTTACCCCCTCCTCCTCCTCTCCTGTTCCACCACACCTCCCCTCCCTCTCTCTCCCTTTCTCTCGTTCTGTCTGTTTGCCTCTGCCACTAGATGGAAATACGCACAGATGCGTAAAGGGGCGATCAAACTCCTCACATCCACCGGTGGCAGCGGCAGCATCAGCGACCCCCTTATATTTGGACAAGAGGGCCAGAACAGGGGACAAACTACTATCCTGGACAATTGTTCACGCCTCATGCAGAAGCGACCAGAAGCCCAACCACAAGCCTGGAGCCCACCTGTTTGAATCCGGTCCCTGTTCGCTCGGATCACCCGGCGGAGCTCATGAGCTCAGCCCGGCCAGAGGACGCAGGCAGAGGGGCACAGAGGCGTACGAGGACCCACGCGGTGTCCCGGCTCGGATGCATGGATGCTCGCTTCTTCTTCTTCTTCTTCTTTTTCTTCTTTTTCAGGAGCTGCAGTTGCTCGTCTGTGGCGATCCAGAAATAGCAGCAGCCGGTCTAGAGGTTGTGTGAGGGAGCGTCTGAAGAGGTTTATTTGCGGTAGTTATGTTTCCAGCTACGAATTTTCCCGTTTTGTGTGATTTTTTTTGTGCCTCTCTCTCGTCGCCTCTATTTTGAGTTTCCAGCTTTGATGCCACTTAGTCTGCCAGAGTCGTACTAATTAGCGTCTTGATTGACAGCTCGGTAATTGGATTTATTTATCCGCTCCTTGAAGTTGTGAAGCCTCTTAAGGCACGACAGGATTGGTTTCTAAAGGCTTTATTTCTGTAGAAAACAATAATAACATACAGACTTGTAGGTTTTTTTGTTGGGGTTTATTTTAGTTTTAATGCCACTTGGCAAATACTCAATCCTTTTCCAAGTCATTCCTGGAGCTTATGAGGCCCAAGAATGCAGGGCAGGATACGCATTTCAGGCAGAGATTATTTTATATTTTTAGAAATATATTGTACAAAAAAATCCATAACCTTCACTGAGGTCTTTCTTATTGAGTCTCTTATCAGTCTTAAAATCAAATATAGTTCAGTCTTATGATTCAGGAATATTCCAGAAATAAATGTCCATATGTGGCAGAATGAGGAGGTTGTTCACTGAAAAGATGTGACTCTGGATTAAAGGAGAACAAGTTGTTTGTTCTGTGAAACACTTGAAATCATCTCTCCATCTGACAGGTTTTTAATATGGGTTTGATAAAAATTTGGTGCACTTTGCAGCATGTGGTTCCTATCCAAGAGGTCAACAGCTGCCACAGAGCTCACGGAGTTTACCCCTCCTCTTAAAGAGCAAATTATTTAAAGAAGGTTTCTTTTCTCTTTTTTTAAATTAAATCCTAACAGTTAGATTTACACTGATACAAAATGCCTGGTTTTACTTTTAAATCATTGTTGCACAGTTGGGGCCTATTTGCTGGAAAAGAAAAGTTACGGCTGCGTTCAGACATGCACACATTTTCATTCAAAAAGAAAATCAAGTTTGAATCTCGTTTAATAAAACATAAGCGTCACAAAATGATTATAATATGGAGAGCATGTTTTATAAAATTGGACACTCTATTTCCATTACTTGCACATACTTGTTGCCAAGTAGAAAACAATATCTCAATTGATCAAAAAGATATTTCAAACAAACATGCATGAATGCATTTTTGGAAACTCTTTGTAACATTTTTGTACGTAGCTGTTTTCTACGTTTCTGTTACCATAACCACCTGGATGAGTGTTTCTGTTTCTTTCTTATTGATTACAACATTTGTTCAAATGTACTAACAAAGTGTGCTACTTGTGCCCTTGTAAAAGCTGAGGGGGTGGGACAGTACCTGTGGTTGAGGAGATGAACATAGAGTATATTTTGTGGTAAGAATATGTTGGGATCGAAAAGAATAGGACTTTCTGTGACCACACCAAGTGTGTTAACAAGTCAAGATCCTTCAATTTCTCAAGAAAAGTAAAATCTTGTACACCATAGAGGAGGGTGGTTCAGTCTGATCCTCAAGAGCCGAGAGCTTCACAGCTGGAAATCCAGCTGCCAGGAGACGCTGAGGGGATAAACAGTGGATGCCACCTGTTGCCACACCACAACACTGGATGGCATCACTCATCCTTTGATGAGGCTTCACATGTTCCCCCTTACACATTATCTGTCTTCTTGTCAGTGCGTTGACCGGTCTTCGTCCCAGTATGATGCCGTATCCTCACTATACCCAGTATACAGGGCCCAGTGTTGTCCTCTATCAGCTCTCCTCCGCTCTGGGTGTCGATGTCCTTCGCCTGCTGTCATTTTCCAGTTTTGCAGGCCCCAGGGGTATTTTAATGTCTTTCCATCTATCATCCGACTCTGTGTGTGTGTGGGTGTGTGTGTGTGCGCGCGTGTGTGTGTATGCCTGTCTCCTTGCTCTCAAAATCCAGTCTTCCCAATGCCCAGTGCGCTGTATGGCTTTTTATTCCTATCTGACTGTACTGATGGTTCATATAGGGATGGAAGCCATGCACCGCGCTGGGAGCACAGCACACTGGACCGTGGATTCGAGCCCTGTCGTTCTCACATAAACACACTCAACTATATGTACAAGCACACTCTCAAGAGCCTCCATGCTCAAGGGAGGCAATAAATGCATGCACACATCCAGGAGGACGTGAAGCGAAAACCTGTCACACAGAAATACGGAGGCACACACACTCCACACATAAACTTGCATTCATGCGTATATGCAGTCGGTATTGTGCGTGCTTTATGCATACACACATTGCAGGACAGAAATGGTCCCCTGGTCCCATCAAGCCCTATACTGCAGCGAGTCAGTCTGAAGCTGTCTGACTATCAGCTGACAGACGGTGAAACACTGAAGTGAAACACACACATCTGCTACAGAATCACAACACGATCGATACGGATCACAACAGAGCAGAATGAAAATTAAATTGAACTGAAATTAACCGAATTGATTCGGACTGAAGAGGCACAACTCGTATTCATTCAGTCGTGGTCTGTTACCTACCTAATTCTTATTCAGGGTCCCAATAGGATGAAGAAAGTATCCCAGCATGCACTACGTGAAAGGCTTTGAAACTCACAGAAAATGGCTGAAACAGAGAGACTATATCCACAATATTGTCATTTCTTGAGCCAGTAAATGAGAGAGAGTCTGAGGTCCTCCTGACACAGTTGTTAGGAAACCAATGCAAATCAAAATTAAGATATTTGTGTTAATGAAGTGAGACATTGTGATGCTCTGTTCCATTTAAATTATATAAAACAAAATCAGAAAACCTTGTCACAGAATCATAGGACACATTTCCCAGAGAAAAATACAGATACGTGAAACATTGCACTTTTACCTATACGACACATTCACTTATAAGTAAAATAGAATAGAATTAAATAGAGACGTAAATCTGCCACATCTGCTTTTGCTTCAGAAGACTTGAAATTGTATGCAAGGAAACATAAAAGTACCGTTTCTGCCTGTGACTATTTCAGACCTGGCTACTAAAGCCTGGGGATTTTGCCCAACATGAGACCATTAGCCATTAGTTCTGTGCACACTGTAGAATTAATTCACCATCATACTGAAATAAAATGTGCACAAGAATCCATCAATTATATTATTTGCTTATATGTCTGAAAATTGCATTATTACCACTCAATCTAGGCTCACTAAATATGTGGTTTAAACATTCATATCATGAGAGAAAGTGACATAAATTACTGATGTATGAGAAATTTGAAGAGATCAGTAGTGAGGTCCTCATAAATTATATTCCGTCACTTTGTTAGAGTAAACCTGTCATGGAACTGCGGCTCTGACATTGAGAGCTCTGTAAATGGCTTTGGTGGTTTTACATTATTTTATCTAACGTTTGAATATTGATTTATACCATACATAGCACCATTTTTCAAAATCTGGTATGGCCCTTTAAGTTCAGCTGTGGATCTACAGACTGAATTATTCTACTTTTGAACGCATTATACCTCTGGATACATTTTCAATCTAAGAAAAACAAAATGAACAGATGCTATTGTTGACAGACGGTTGTGTAGCCACCTGGCACGAGTGTCTCTTTTATAAAACCCCATGGATGTAATAGTTATATATGTGTCACTGCAAAACTGTCAAATCTCAAGATGACACTTTAATATCAGGAGGACGAACACCTCATCTGTGACTTGCTGTAGTTAAGCCTCATATATGGCACAACATCGCCCCTCAGTGTCCATAAAGTGGAATTAGCCTACGTCGCTTAAAAAAAACACAAACTATATATTAAACTGTCAAGATAGCAGCAGGGATGTGTGTCACTCTGAACAGCTGATAGGAGATTGTTTTTTTGGGGGGGGGGGGGGGGGGGGGGGGG